TCTGATAGAGAGAGGTGTGTTTACCTGTCTGTAGCAACTGTCTTAGGTCATCTGATAGGTGCTCCGTAATTGGTTGTTAATCAATGCTATGGCCTGTTGATTGGGGACACGATCGTGTATCTCTCTCTCTCTCTTTCTCTCTCTCTTCTCTTCGCTCTCTCTTCTTTCTGGTTCTTTCTCTTTTCTCTCTCTCGGCTCTTAACTGGTGATGATACATGGACTCACTAACAGTAAATAATACATGTACATGTACACAGGAATATAATGTTACAGTACACAGTAAATTATATATGTTTACACTGTTAACAGGAATATACATTGTCTGTACACAGTACATACATGTACATGTACACAGGAACTACTCTGTACATGTACAGTAAATAACGTCATGGTACGACAGGAAATATACATGTACATGTACACAGTAAACATACATGTACATGTACACAGTAAACATACATGTACATGTACACAGGAAGTTAATGTAATTGTCACAGTAACTTGCATAGTACATTGTACCAGTATATGTACATGTAGCAGCAAATATAACTGTAATGTACATGCTAAAATAATGTACATTAACGTAAATATACACGATATGTACACAGGAAACTATATGTACATGATACACAGTAAACATAATGTAATGTACACGTAAACATACATGTACATGTACACAGGAAAATATACATGTACATGTACACAGTAAATATACATGTAGACAGTAAATATACACGTACATGTACACAGTTTATATACACGTACATGTAAATACACAGTAAATATACATGTACATGTACACAGTAAATATACATATAAGTGAACATGTACATGTACACATACATATACCCCAGCAAATATACACGTACACACGGTACATGTACACCGTATATATACATGTACACATACACAGTAAATATACATGTACACATACATATACCCAGCAAATATACATGTACACTTACATGTGCATGTGTGTAGTTTATATGCGTATATGCACATAGCTGTAGTAAGCTCACTATACTTACACGTTCTCTCGTGTATTTCAGATCACCAGGACAGCGCCACCTGGTGTGTGAGCGGGGAAGAGAGAATCGCAAGACGAGACGCGCGGTGTGGAGAGACGTGAGGACGGCGGCCGGGGTGTATGACACCGCGCGGACGGGCCACGCAGACACGTCACGGTCTACAGAGAGCGGGGACACGCCGGGACAGCGTGATAGCTACTCAGTGAGACGGACACCAGAACGTGGTGATACACGCATAGTAGTAGTCTCACAGACACTAGGACGGCGCGAAATACAGGGAGAGTGCCGGACACCGTGACGTAGAAAGACGCTGAGGTTCTGCGTAGAGTGACAGACGCCGGAACGTGGTGATACACGTCGCCAGCGTGAGAGACACTAAGACAGCGTGATATATATACGTGACGCGGGAACGTCGTGATGCGAGAATACAAGATCGTCGTGCTCGGCAGCGGAGGTGTAGGGAAGAGTGCCATCGTAAGCCATCTAAACTTTATTATGTTTAGCTATGTATTATTTGTCACGATACTATTCGGTACTATATGAGTAATATAGTGTTAGAGCCAACTATAGGTATATAGGTTCTAACGCTATATTACTCATATAGTACCGAATAGTAGCGTGACATTATTATTTATATTTTTTATGTTAAAAGTCTTTATTTACTTATTTACTTATTCGTTATATATGCTTTTAAATATATTATTTATGTTATTCTATGCTTCGAGTAATCATTCGGACTGCTCATCAGAATGATTACTCTAAGTTTTATGTTCCAAGTCTGGTCAATGTTTGCAGCCCATGTAAAAAAAAAATTTGACGATTTTTTAGTTCTATTTATTTTACGAGTTTTATTTAGTTATTTTAGTTTCATTTACGAGCAAGGGTGATAACAGCTTTGTCACATGTTGTTGTTAGATAGGCATTGGCAGATTTCTATAATTACCGTTGTCCTTACCAGTTGTCATGTTAGAATTAAGTCACTACCGCCCGCACACTCTGCCTGTCTGTCACTTTACATATTGACAGTGCTAAAAATATTCTTCTTTTTTTCTTATTAAACAAACAAAGAATCGGTGCGTGAAAAGATTTATCAGATGCGATTGTCAGAAAAAAGCGATCATTACATTCGTGTAACTGTTACTGTTACTGTTACTGTAACTGTGATCAGAATAATATTTAGGGTGGAAATTTATTGTTACTGTGTATTGGAACGTGCTGCCCACTGTTGTGCCTTTTCGCTCGTTCTCCTTGCTGTTTCTCATTGTCTCTCATTGTTGTTCATTATTCTCATTGTTTTACACACAGACGGTGCAGTTTGTCCAGGGAATATTTGTTGAGAAGTATGATCCAACAATAGAGGACAGCTACAGGAAGGTAAGGGAGAGAGAAAGTGAGAGAGGGAGAGGGTGAGAGAGAAAGAGTGTGTGTGAGAGAGCGCGAGCGCGAGAGAGAGAGAGAGAGAGAGAGAGAGAGAGAAGAGAGAGAGAGAGAGAGAGAGGAGAGAGAGAGAGAGAGAGAGAGAGAGAGAGAGAGAGAGAGGAGAGAGAGAGAGAGAGAGAGAGAGAGAGGAGAGAGAGAGATAGCCAGAGAGAAGAGATAAGAGAGAGAGAGGCGAGAGAAGAGCGAGAGAGAGAGAGAGAGAGAGAGAGAGAGAGGGAAAAAGGAAAAAAAAAAAAAGAAAAAAAGGAAAAAAAAAGAAAGAAAAAAAAAGAAAGAGAAGAGAAAAGAGAGAGAAGAGAGAAGAGAGAAGAGGAGAGAGATTGCACGTGCAAGAGAGCATGAGAGTGTGGCGCGCGTGAACATAACAGTGAGTGTGTTTCTGCTCTTGACGAACCGTGACGAGTAGATTAGTGATGACAGCTTAGTGCTGCTCACACGGAGGCATGCCACATTCGCACTGCACCATCCTCCACCCATCCCCCTACCCGCCATTTATCCCCGTCCGCCATATCGATGGCGAACTCAGAGTTCATGTAGTGAGTGCGTGCAGCAATGCAGGCACAGAAGCTGGTATCTAACTAAGCTCCTGTAACACAATCCTCAACGCTTCAATCAATGTGGGTGTAATGTAAAGGTTACGTCACCGTAAATAGGTGCAAAAAGTGACAAAAATATTCCACTTTTCCAGCAAAAATGTAAGTAATTCTGTTGCACTTTTTATGGTTGAAGAATTGCTGCATTATACTTCCTATTTTACTATATTGTTCGATGTATTCAAACACAATCGTGACCATACATAGCCATAGCAAGCAACACAGCAGAGAGTGAGAGAGAGAGAGAGAGAGAGGAGAGAGACGAGAGAGAGAAAGAGAGAGAGAGAGAGAAGAGAGAAGAGAGAAAGAGAAGAGAGAAGAGAGAAGAGGAGAGAGAGAGAGAGAGATAGCGAGAGAGAGAGAGAGCCAGAGAGAGAGAGAAGAAGATAGCGAGAGAGAGATGAGAGAGAGAGAGAGAGAGAGAGAGAGAGGAGAGAGAGAAAAAAGAAAGAGAGAGAGAGATAGCGAGAGAGAGAGAGAGAGAGAGAGACAGAGAGAGAGAGAGAGAGAGCAGAGAGAGAGAGAGAAGAGAGAGAGAGAGAAGAGAGAGAGATAGCGAGAGAGAGAGAGAGAGAGAGCGAGAGAGAGAGAGAGAGAGAGAGAGAGAGAGAGAGAGGAGAGAGAGAGAGATAGCGAGATGAGAGAGAGGAGAGAGAGAGTAGAGAGAGGCCAGAGAGAGAGAGAGAGAAGAGAGAGAGAGAGAGAGAGAGAGAGGAGAAGGAGGAGAAGAAGAGAGAGAGAGAGGGAGAGAGAGAGGAGAGAGAGAGAGAGAGAGAGAGAGAGAGAGAGAGAGAGAGAGAGAGAGAGATGCCAAGAGAGAGAAAGAGAGAGAGAGAGAGAGAGAAGAAGAGGAGAGAGAGAGAGAGGAGAGAGAGAGAGTGGAGAAGTAGAGAGAGAGCGAGAAGAGAGAGAGACGAGAGAGAGAGAAAGAGAGAGAGAGAGTAGAGAGAGAGAGCAGAGAGAGAGAGAGAGAGAGAGAGAGAGAGCAGAGAAGACGAGACGAAGACGGAGAGAGAGAGAGAGAGACGACGACGAGAGAGAGATAATAGAAAGTATATGTATTTGTATATGTATATATATATATATATATATATATAATATACGTGTTTATATATATACATATATATCAGTAAATAATGATCAATGTGATAAATTGAAAAGTAAAACGGTATCAATTAGTATTCGAATCAATGAGTAAATTAAGTAATTGGCGGTCAATAACTGTCTCATCTCAAGTTCAACACCCCATCCCGAACCGTAAAATAAAACTACGTCAAATAATCGTTAAAATTAATCCGTAATTAATGGGTAATTTGACGACGCGGCAGCGAACAAAAACTAGATCTCGTCTTCTGTCCATCTCTCCTCCTCGTTATCCCAAGCAGTAAAATAAAACGATGTCGATTATTCGTAGAATTAACGAGTAATTAATAAGTAATTAACCAGTCATGCTATGTGACTCTGCCGTGTTTAACATTATAACGTTATAACGTGTATAGCATTATTACCATCTGCGCATTATTATTAATATTTATTATTATTATTATTATTATTATTATTCTCTGCAGCAAGTAGAAGTTGACGGACAGCAATGCATGCTGGAGATACTGGACACGGCCGGAACGGTGAGCGTGGCGCCATCTCTGGGCGTCTTTTAATTCGAATGGAATTTATTTAAAATGTCCCCAAATAATCTGATTCTGTTAACGATCGTCGGTTCGAGATGCAAATGTCGTCCGTGTAATATTGTAATCGTTATAATCGATTATTATTAGTTATAGTAGTAGTAGTATTGTCAAGAACTTCCATTTTATAGGTATCATACTTACAGAACCGGCTGTATATGACAGTACCTAGTCAACGATCTATTCGCCAATTCATTGTATCATTATGTGTACCATTAGGGAAAAAATTAAGCGGACATTGGAAAAAATACTAAAGACACGAGTGCGGTTCGCCCGTAGTAACCGTGGTAACGTCGTCTTCCCGGACACCGCGGTAACATCATCTGTCTCCGCAGTCGCCACGGTAACGTCGTGGTCTTTCCGCGGTCGCCACGGCAACATCATCTCTCTCCCCCGTCGCCGTGGTAACGTCCTTCTCATCGTCTCTCTCTCTCTCTCTGCAGGAGCAATTCACGGCTATGCGAGATTTGTACATGAAGAACGGACAGGGCTTCGTGCTCGTCTACTCGATCACCGCACAGTCTGACCTCAACGACCTCCAGGATCTATCAGCGAACTAGCATCCTGCCGCCGTCAAGGGATTGCCGACAACGGTTCGAGCGATGCTTCGGTTGTTGCTTCGGCGGCATTTCGTCTTCTGTCTGCGCAACGCGTAGAGCGTTATCGAGAGTGCGGCGCGTTATAGTAAAGGCAGGGTTCGTGCGGGTCTTCTCAAAGTCTTATAAGCTACTATTTTGCCAAAAATAAAATAAGGGCCCTATAGTACTTTTTTTTGGTGAAATCTTAGTAAATGTACTTATTATAGTCCTTTATTTTCGACTTACTGTCTCGACTTTAGAGCTAAGAATTGTTAGTATATATATACGGAATAATTAAAGTCTGCTGTGTAATTGTGTATATAAATATTTATTTAGTGTACTTTTAATAGTCGGTGTGATCCTATCAGAAAATCTTTGCTGGGAGCGTGTCCGCTAAAGCAGCGCGGACTGTTGTTTTGCGTTGGACGCGGAGAAACTCACGACCGAACACGTAACTGGTGCCAAAACATTCAATCGGGGAAAATCTCGCGGAGTAGGCGCTTCCTTTATTAGACAGGCTGCTCTCTCGAGGGTCTCTTTAGACGGGCTGTTACGGTTCTTTTATTAGAACAGTGTGGCTGCTCTACGGAGGTGTCCTTTATTAGACAGGTGGCTAGCTCTACGCGAGCGTGCTCCTTGTCATAGACAGGTGGCGCTGCCTCTACGGAGGTGTCCTTTATAGACAGGTGTCTGCTCTACGGAGGTGTTCTTTATAGACAGGTGGCTGCTCTACGGAGGTGTCCTTTATAGACAGGTGGCTGCTCTACGGAGGTGTCCTTTATAGACAGGTGTCTGCCCTACGGAGGTGTCCTTTATAGACAGGTGGCTGCTCTACGGAGGTGTCCTTTATAGACAGGTGTCTGCTCTACGGAGGTGTCCTTTATAGACAGGTGTCTGCTCTACGGAGGTGTCCTTTATAGACAGGTGTCTGCCCTACGGAGGTGTCCTTTATAGACAGGTGGCTGCTCTACGGAGGTGTCCTTTATAGACAGGTGTCTGGTCTACGGAGGTGTCCTCTATAGACAGGTGGCTGCTCTACGGAGGTGTCCTTTATAGACAGGTGGCTGGTGACAGGTGTACTTTATAGACATGTTGCTCTCGAGGAAATTGTGGGAAGCGGCCTTTATAGACAGGTGTCCGTTCTACGGAGGTGTCCTCTATAGACAGGTGGCTGCTCTACGGAGGTGTCCTTTATAGACAGGTGGCTGGTGACAGGTGTACTTTATAGACAGGTGTCCGCTCTACGGAGGTGTCCTCTATAGACAGGTGGCTGCTCTACGGAGGTGTCCTTTATAGACAGGTGGCTGCTCTATGGAGGTGTCCTTTATAGACAGGTGTCTGCTCTACGGAGGTGTCCTTTATAGACAGGTGTCCGCTCTACGGAGGTGTCCGCTCGCACGGGTTTGATACTGTTAATGTTGCTCTCGAGGAAATCGCGAGAATCGTCTTTTATAGACAGGTGTCCGCTCTACGGAAGTGTCCTTTATAGACAGGTGGCTGCTCTACGGAGGTGTCTCCCTACACGAGTTTAACAGCGTGAATGTTGCTAGAGTAAATCGCGAGAATCGACCCTTATAAAGAGGTGGCGTTGCTCTGCGCAGGTGCCGATGGTGCTTGTGGGGAACAAGTGCGACTTGGAGGATGAGAGAGCCGTCGGGAAGGACCAGGGACAGAATCTCGCGCGCCAGTTCAACATCCCAACCTTCCTCGAGTCGTCGGCGAAGGCAAAGATCAACGTAAATGAGGTGAGAGAGGAGTAGAGGGAGGAGGGGAGAGGGAGAGAGAGGAGGGGGAGAGAGGGGAGGGAGAGAGAGGAGGGGGAGAGAGGGAGGGAGAGAGAGGAGGGGAGANGAGAGAGAGAGAGAGACAAAGAAAGAAAGAAAGAAAGAGAGAAAGGGAGGAGAGAGAGAGAGAGTGAGAGAGAGACGAGGAAAGAAAGAAAGAGAGACAGAGCGAGGGAGAGAGACTATTAACCTGCTATATATCGGGTCTAAACTCATTGTTGTTGTTTGTTTTTATTTCAGCTGATTAATGACTCATCGCAGAATCTCAACGCGTTGACGACGCAAATCGACGATGCCTCACTCTGGATGCACAACCATCGCCACGGCAACGGTCGTCCGCGCAGCCCCGGATGCCCCCGAAGCGTGATGTCGCCGTTGCCGCGGCAACACGGCGAGGACGCTCCGGGTTCAGCCTCCGCGGGCGCGCGCATCCTTTTCCCACTGCATTGTTTTTATCCCCTTGATTTAGAGTAATTAACAGAGTAATTAGCGTGCGTCGTTTGTCAGAATCCCCGGGTGAATAACGAGTTTGTCGTTGTTAGTGTTCAGTATTATGCAAGGGTTCGCCGTGGCGACTGTAAACAATTATGTTATCACCATATGTTAGCTCCATCTCTCTCGCTCTCACTCTCTCTCTCTCTCTCTCTCTCTCTCTCTCTCTCTCTCTCTCTCTCTCTCTCTCTCTCT